ATTTTAAAACATCCAAATAATGAAGGTAAAGCCAAACTGCCTTGCTTCACCCCTACCCTCCCATCGATTTCCACTCTAGAGATAACCACTATTAACAATTTAAATTGTTTTTTTAAACCTGTGCTGTCTAGTATATTAGGCACTAGCTATGTGCATTTAAATTTAAAGTAGAATTAAGTAAAATTTAAAATTCACTTTTACAGTTTTATTAGTCACATTTCAGAAATCTATATTCACATGTGGTTAGTGGCTACTGACCTGGACTGTGGAGATAAAGAGCATTTCTGTCACTGAAAAAAGTGCTATGTAAAACTTCATAGTTTTTTTCATAGATGGCCTCAAAATGTACGTCATAACTTTCTTGTTAACAATATGGGTTGGAGGTCTTTATTAGTGAGCATATAGTTTTTTCATTCTTTGTAACTGCTGCTTAGTAATTTATAGTATTATACCATATTGTATTTCTCAAGGGATGTTGCCTGTTTTTTTTTTTTTTTTTGCTATTAAGAATAATGTTTATAGGTACTTTCTACGCACATTTGGTTATATGTTTCTAGGGTATATTTCTTTTTTTTTTTTTGGTACCGGGGATCGAACTCATGACCTTCCACTTTTGAGGCAGGCGGCAGAACCACTGAGCTAAATCCCTGGCCCTCTAGGGTATATTTCAAGAAGTGGAATTTTAGTGTTGAATAGAGTATGTTTAGAATTTTAGAAAGTTTTTTCTAATAATTAGAGCTGTCTAAAAATAAAATGAGTTCTTCCTTAAAAATATATAGTAAGACTTACTAGAAATAATAATTATGTAACTTCAGAACAGGAAGAAAGTTTTGAGATCATTTGGTCATTGCTCTTCCCTTTTAATGCATATAGAGATAGGGATGGTGAAGTGAATTTGCTTACCTCAAGGCATCATAGTAAATGGCAGACCTTAGTCTGGATCTCAGCTCAGTGTTTACAAGTTTAGAGAGCTTTTCAGAATATTGTTTCAGCGGCCTAAATACTCTCAGGGATTTTATGAAAGGGATTCCTGAATTGTGTGGGGCTTATGCCAGATAACTTCGAAACCACTGAGTATGCAGTTAATTTTATAATCGGGCCTATAGGGTTGAGTGTGGTCTTTAAATATAGAAATTTGAGAAGCAGAGAATGGCTCTTCAAAGGTCAGCTCTGGGAGTAGCATTTTTCTTAGGTAGTTAAACCTGGTACAGTTAGTCTTTGGTTACTGGATTGTTTTGGATCAAATTAGGAAGCTTTTGTCTTTATTTATTTATTTATTTTGGTACCAGGGATCGAACTCCCGTCCATCCTTGTGCTTGCGCAGCAGTCAGCAGGCGGCGAAACTACTGAGCTAAATCCCTGGCCCAGGAAGCTTTTGTTTTTCCTACTTGTTCCTTTTGTAACCTTCAGCAACTCTACCTATTGAAACCATAATTAGATTGTCATATGGCTGAAACATTATGCAACTTTTTTTTTTTTAACCTACTTCCTATTTGAGTAATTTGGTATATTGAAACCTATGTTTAAGTAGTAGAGACTTTGTTTTGTGGTTTATGTTTAAATTATATTGCTCTCTGTCAGCAGACCTGTTTTTTTCCAAAGTAAACTAGGTGGGGATGGGGGTAACCTAAAATCTATCACTACTATTAGAAAACCATCTCACAAGCATTTACCCCTGGTATTGTCAGTAGATATTAAATATTTATTTTTATAGGTTTATAACCATTAGTTGCTTCAGTGGTAAAGGCAGTTTTATGAGAGAATTGTATTTTGAAGGAAAATTTTAAGTACTCAATCTGTTTTTTTTCTAGATAGAAAAACATGAACAGGTGCCTGTGGAAATGAAAGTCAAAGAAGAAAAATGTCTCTTTTTAAAGCTCTAAGTGTAGATTATTAGTGAGCGGGAGGAATTACGTTACATGTACTGTTTATGAATATTTGATTTGAGGTTCCATTTACCACATTACCTGTGGAAGGGATGTCTTTGGAGTTCTAAGGATGGTTTTAATTAATACTGAAATGGAGTGACTTTAGGAAGTCAGATTCAGAGTCCTTTTTTTTTTCTGAAGGATATTAAGTGGGTTTAATTAACTTAAATAATCTACCAAAAAGTGAGATTTGTTTACTTCTCATTTTTTTCACTTTTTTATTGGTCACACAGATTGATGAATTCTGTTTTAGTAGATTTGTAGGTATGCATAACATACTTTGATCATTTTCACTCTCCCACCTCATTTTCCATGCCCACCTCCCTAGTTTTACATTTTTTGAAGGGGTTTCAGTGCATATATTTTGCTTATATCGATCCCACTTATTATCCTTATACCTCCTCCCCTCCCTCTTATTCCCTTTCTTTTGTCTAAGAATAGTCTCCTTTCTACTTTATTGTCATCTTTTTTTAGTTTACACACATTAATT